AATATGGGATTAAGTCATTCTTCATCTTATCATACTTCTCATGTGAGAAGTGTATCGACATTTGGTCCTGTTATTGCTAAACCATTCCCGGAAATATACCCGCGTTTGGATATTTGGGATTTCTATGGCAATGAAAAATACGGTCCACAACTTGATTTGTTAGTTCAAAGTTATCAGGCGATTTATGATCGCCCCTACTATGATATGCGATCATTTTATCAAGTTGCTGGCATTCATGGTCTACCTTTTGAACCCTATGATGGTGCTACTGGTGGTGCTCATGAATACAAAAATGAGACGGATTGGGCAACAGGTCGTTTTGGTGGTTATTGTCATCATGGAACTGTTTTATTTCCAACGTGGCATAGGCCATATATGCTTTTGATTGAATATTTGTTAGCTAATGAAGCTAAACAAATTGCTTTACAATACCCTGATGACGAAAAAGAAAAATATATTGAAGCGTCAAAACAACTTCGCCATCCCTATTGGGATTGGGCTGATGATAAAACGCTAAAAAAAGGTGTTCCGGAAGTATTCCTAACACCTGAAATAGAAATAAATACTCCAAAAGGCAAAAAAAAGGTCAAAAATCCGTTTAAAAGTTTTACATTACCTGTCGATCTTGCATCTCCCCTTGAAAAAGGTAAAAACCCATATGATAAACCAAATTATACACCTCCAACCCTAGCAAGGAATCCGTTTACTCCTGCCTATTATCCTACAGCCAGACATCCTAATGCTAATTATGAAGATCAAAATAATTTATTAATCGGTAATATGACCACATATGTTTCTACGGTATTTAAACCTGGATTGTATCAAATGTTTCATTTTGGCAACTTCCTACGTTTTAGCAGCCATGGTGTAAGATCAGATGATTCACTAATGCCAAATGTTTTCGGAAGTCATCCTTATCCTACAATTGTTGATGGATTTGGACATTTTGCTTCTCTTGAGACAACTCATGACGCTTTTCATTTAATATTCGGTGGTTTTGGAGGTCATATGGCTTATGTAGATATAGCTTCATTTGACCCAGTGTTCTATTTCCATCACTCTAACATCGATCGTATTTTTGCACTTTGGCAGGGAGTGTTAGTGTTATTCTTTATTTAAATGAATAATTCTAATTATAAAAAAAAAAAATAAATATTAAGTAAAAAAAATTTTTTTTATATACAGATTTCCTGATAGTTGGATTCCACAAAGTAAAAATATCAATGGATCTTTTACAGAATTATTGGACGAAGTAATAGATGATTATACTGATCTAACACCATTCCGAAAGACAAAAACAGAATTCTGGAAATCTTCAGAGGTTCGAGATGTAGAGAAACTTGGATATACTTATCTAGAATTGGAGAGGTTTAAAGGTCAAAATCCTAAAAAATTACAAGCTTATCTTCTTGAACTATATAAACCTGATCCTCATTATGGAAGAAGATTTTTCGTAAAGGTGACTATAGAATCGAATGAATTAATTGGACCATACTTTGTTAGAGTATTTGTTGATTGTGCCACTGCGGATGCCCAAACGCCATTAACTTCACCTCATTTTGCTGGTCTGTTTGCCAAGTGGAGTGGTAATAAAGCACATAATAATTCTTTTGTCGTGGGAACTGTCGATATTACGGCAGCTATGGAACGATTGGGAATACGAATGCAAACACACGATATTCTTAATGACGTTAACGCTACGACTGGTCTTTTAAGTCCAACTGCGATTTTTGATGTTAAAAAGGATATCCACATAGTTACTGTTACGTTAAATGGAGAGGATATTAGTCCAAAA